TGTTGATTATCATCAGTGACATTCATATTAACGGTGAACTGAATTATGTGTCAGATTGTGGAGAGAAGAGCACCAAATAGGACAAAGCGAAGATGTGTTGTTGAAGCTCTATGTTCCACTCGGAACACATGGGAGTAGAAATAATAATAACAGAATAATATCACAGTGAGTTTACCTAATAATAATAATAATAATTTGCTTTATTCCAAAAACAGTACTAGTGGTACAGTGTGGAATTTTCAGCACTTATCTACAATATTGCATCTAATTATATCAAACATTTAAGAGTATTTCAAAAAATAAATATAAAGAGAACAAAAATAATAAAAAAAATACCAAGAAGTAGAAAGGAAAATAAACAACATAAAATAATATCTCAGTATTGGGTAGTGGAAGCTATGATATGCTTATGCGTGGTGAACAGTAAAACTATAATCATACAGGCAGTATGAAATAATATTAAGAATGTTTATCGCCATGATGATCAGTTGATTAGATTGAACAACACTAAACAATCATAAAATAAACATTTTAGGGTGTTTTTTATTGTCAGCACTAATGCAGTGTTTGTGGTGGTAGTGTGAGTAATCATGCATAATACAAAATTTTTTAAGATGGTGACAGTGGCGTTCACAAACAAGATTGTCAGTTAAATAGTGCTGAACAAAGAATAACCACAAAACTAATATTACATGATGGTTAACGACAGGACAATTTTGTAATAATCATAGTGATAATATAGTCGGACCCAGTAGATATACAAAAGAAGGAATAGAGTAAAGTACAAAAAAGTAAGCCAATCATAATAATATAAAGTAGCTAAATATGTTTAAGAAGGTTGTTCACTATAGAGTACAAGTAAGAGAGTATAAGGGAGAAATAAAAGGGCCAAAATTATGTTAATAACAACAAAGCAAGCCACACGTTTCGCACTTAACATTGTCTCTGTCACTTAGAACACGGGCTGGCCACATATGGTATCGTTGAGTTCCTATACTTGTTTGTACGAGCATGTATTATTTTGTACTGATTTATGGTTCTACCTGATGAGATTCAAGGAGAGAGTTGGGGGTCAGAGAGTATGGTTTTAGTTAATTTCTCGCATGTATTCAGATGCTTATCCACTAATGTAGTGACGAGTTGACTGAGTTTTACACCGCTAGTCCTACTAACTACCTTCAACATCTCAGGATGGTATAGTCCTTTTTCAGTAACCCAGGAAAGACTAACGGGGAGCAGTAAAGTAGAATAGGTAGGATACGAGAGTTGACAAATTGTCAATGCAAGGGTTGAGTGATTCCACTTAGTCTGAGTTTCTTAATGTAGTAGGTTAGACGAAACACTTTCTAAGAAATCGTTAGGATATGAGATGACCAAGTAAGGTCGGAAGATAGAACTAATCCGAGGTATTTTGCATTAGACTTTGTTTCAATTATAGTCCCCTCAATGCTACAGGCATCATGAGTGCTTACTAGTGTTTGTAGATCTCGTTTATGCCTAAAGGAGAAGTCAATAGTCTGGCATTTTGAGGGATTCAGCATGAGGTCATTTAGTTTAGACCAGTGACTGATGTCAGACAGGAAGCTATTTAATTTGAAGCAGTCTGACTGAGACTTAACGGGAAGAGAAACAGTCAGGTCATCTGCATATTTGACGAAGTTGATTTCGTCTGAAAGAGGTAAGTCATGTAAGAAGGAGGAAAAGAGAAACGGCGAGAGAACAGCACTCTGAGGAACACCAGCTTCAGTAAGCAAAGGAGAGGAAGCTACACCATTATATACCGTGTACTGCATCCTATTAGAGAAGTAAGAGTGCAGCCAGTTGATAGCCCAGGACTCAGTTTGTGTAAGGCTAAGCTTGTTTAACAAAAGGCCTCTAGGTACAGAGTCTAAAGCAGATGGAACGTACGACGGACATACTTGGCCCCTTTGTCTAAGGAGGATACAATGTCGTCATGAAACACAGCAGCAGTCTAAAGTACATCTACCCTGTTTGTAAGCAAACTGCTTTAGATCATTTGAGTAGCTTACGTAGGCAACAAGGTTTGTAACAATAATTTTTCTATAAGAGTTTTCCGTAAGGTTCCTTCCTTGTGTGGAAGTACTACTGACGACTTAAATTCCTTATTGTTGTCATCTGCCTGTACATGTTTGACATGTATTTTGTCATTAAATATTTTCCATATCCCTACCATTATTACTTATTTCATTTCCACATTTTCGTACATACTTCCTGATTAATTTGTCAGGGTAATTATTAAGTTTGAAAGCTTCTCTTATATGCTTCATTCCTGTCTTAGATTTCCCTTGGTACTACCTAGTTTTTGTGTTCTATTACGCAAACATCTCACTAATTCTATTTTTACTGACATCGGGTGGGATGATCCGAAATCCAAATATCGTTTTTAACATGTGGATTTTCTGTAAACACTAGTGTTTCACTTTCATGCCACAACATAACATTGGGAGTTCACCTTCTATTAATATTGTTTCATTGTGTGATATATTTAACAAACAAGTTACTATGAAATCATATACTACCACATATATTAACCGTTGTGTTCACGTAGCTGTCAATCTTAACTAGAAACTGCTTCCGTGGAGACTAGCGATCAGTGTGCCTAGTAAGTGAACACTGCAACTAACACCCTTGAGACATTTAACTGTAATATGAGTGGTACACTTGTAATAAACACATAGCACTAATATGAAACTCGTCAAGATAAACAGTGACTGTCATCCAATTATTACCAGAAAACATTTCGGCACATGTGACAAGAATCCACTATTTGGCTCAGCTTATGGAGAATGAATGAGATCCATTTATTTTTGATTACAGCTTGAGAAAGTGAGTGGATTTATTTATCCCGGAAATACAAGCCATGCGTATTATTGCTGGATTGCATGTATCGACTAACCCCTCAATAAAGTTTTCTCACTATCACAAACCACACAGCCGATTTTGTCTTCGCCCTAGGAAACCGATAAGATTCGCCAGTTCTTTTAATAAATCGGATAGCAGTCATGTACCTATGCACCTAACAACTACAGTATAAGAACTGTGCATAATTAACTTACATCTCTATACAAGAACGTACCTCCCTCATTGAATAAGTTCATTTGGATATGTTTGTTTCGAAATACCTCTGCAAATGCCAAGCAGACGCAATAGTCCAAAACACGTAAGCAAAACCTTCGTCCAGCGAATAAATTTTACGCTTTACTGTAATGCTTGTCACTAGACATATTGTAACCCGGGTGTAGGGTAGATGCAGGGGACAATAACGAGCACCCCAGATTGTGATATTGGGGTTCAGACTCGTCAGGCACTCACAAAAGTAAGCACTCAACAACGTATATGTTGAGAAAACTAAAACGGTAAGCGTCTCTCAGCTGAAAATGATCTCAGCCCCGTATTTCTCAGTGGGCCAACTGTAACAATCTCTCTGAAGAAACACGTGAGAGTTTACGGACATGTAACGCCTCACTGATATTAAAAAATGCGTGAAAAACATGATGGCTAGAGTCATCTAAACATTTCATAACGTCACTTTAATCTGCACCTACTTAAGTATTTTTAAATTATCACCCCCAGAAGTGATAGTACATACACCAAAATGCTGCCAAAATATGTAGAGTTAGGAGTAGACAGTGACAATTCAAAGTCGACTCAATGTCTATCCCGGAAAAGATGTCCTAATTAGTGACCGGACTTTGGACCTTCACATTTGATTCTTTTTGGTATATTCACACGCATCAGTTAATGGGCATTTTAAAGGTTGTCCAACACTGAGACTGGATAATGTGAAAGCGATATGTTTACTTGTCTGATTAAAAGGATCAACCAAGTGTGGACTACCCATCTTCTGTAAGAAAGTTTAGACAAGCGTACTTACATCGCATATTATGAAAACAATTCGCTCTAGCTAACTGACTTACATTTTCTATAGAAGCGATTTTTCTGCAGTGTTCATAGTAAAACTATATATTCACGTCACATAAGAAACCATGGAATAAGGTTACTAGGAAAGGGTAAAGCCTCATGAGATCAATCTACCGTAACAAAAAGTGAGGCGTCAGATAAGCAATGCATAATTGTATTCGTCTAGAAGACGACAGACGGTGTTGGATTGTGTACATTATCCCAATAGACTCTGCTCACATATGAAACTTAGGACTACAGTAAGCAGTGCTGTACCGGCACTCATAAAAAGTATAGTTACGGTGGCCAAACCAGACGCAGTGAAGTATGAAAACAGATGTGAATACGCCTGTTTTTTCATCTAACCAAAAGCTTAAGCGGTCACTGTAAACAGCCACAAAAATACAGGCAATTATGGTGATTATACATAACTGAAGCCAGGTTAGTAGTAACCTGGGCCTGGCGGACTCCGCTCGAAACTGACTGCCTTCATAGCTGATGTAGCATACTTGCTGATTACGGGTATTCTTTGCAACTATTTGGCATTTGTTCTGTTACAGAGAGGCTCGAAGAATGTAACTGATATCTGAATACCATAATGAGACATGTGGCGGTGCAGCGATAATTCACACCAGTCCGATACTGCTTAAGAAACTAACGGCTAGATAGGAAAAATTGAGTAGAAGCCCAGGGGCAAAAACTACCGATATAGGTAGTTAATGATTACGTAAGGCGATTTGTAAGGTGTTCCATCTAGGTCACCCCACCAAGTTTAAGACACTTATACCTTTTCGCATTATCATGCCAACTGAGAGGTGACTTATCATGGACTAAACGGTGATTTGGGTGTTGGTATTTTTAATCCTTTCTCTCCATCTAGGTGCTTAACACGTAATCGAACAGAGGTGAGGAATTTGGGCCCTCACAAAGGGTGGTCAATGATTGAAACTCTTAACCTGATCAAATGATATCAGCTCCAGTGGTGCACACTTACACGGAGAAATAACATCTCTACAAAGGTGCATATCGCGAGATTTTATACGCTGTAAGAGCCCACCATTTTTTGACATCTGGACCTGGAAAACTATAACTTCGTATCCAAACACGGAAGCCAAATTTAATTAAGAATCAACAGAATCCAATTCAGATGTTTGACGACCGAAGTTTTACAGATTTTGACCGTCTACCATTAATGCAAGTGCAAAACTTAGGCATTGCGTTAGAATGCAATCCCATATTAGAAAGTTTATTTGAGCATCTTTATTGTAACTTCAAGAAACTATAACGTAACCTTGTATCTCAATATTATTAGAACCCACCATTAGCTTATTAACAATCAAGAGACAATATGAAATGACTTATTTATTTATGAATGAATGGCAGATCCAGAAGTGGTACACGTTAGCAGATGTGGTTAGAGCTGGCATCATGAAAGCAGGCGAATCTTTACCTACATTCAGTCATATGGCTTACACCAGATACAGTTAAGTGTACACACATTTTATGCGTTACAACAATTTTTCAATGGCTGAAATGATTTGCTGCAACTTGTTACTGTCCACATATCCATCACCATTCTGAATGGACAAAGTATTATTAGGAAAATACACAAAAACGTACCTTTTTCGAATGTAGGAGTGGACCATCCACAACTTGAACTTCAAACCAGCCAGTTGACTGAGGCGTCCCTTCACCAGTCTTCGAAGTAATTTAAAATAACTTTTGACTTACAATCTCAAGCTTCCCGGGGAAGCGACGCTCCAACTGCTGCTTGAAGTTCTTATACTACAAAAAAGTTCATAAATCCGAAATTAGCACAAACTTATGCGCATATTTCTATATATTCCCAAGTAAAATAATTCTGGGGAACTTTCGGGGGTTTCTAGGAATTATTTTAGGAAGCAGAACTCGTCGTGAACACCGACCCCCCGACGAAATCAGAAGTCCTAAATGCGATCAAAATGCTAAAATCTGGAAAAGCAGCAGGACCAGATGGAACCCCAGCTGAAGCATTGAAAGTGGACCCAGAGACAACGGCGGACTTGATGACGCCATTGCTGGAGAAAGTGTGGAAAGAAGGCAAAGTACCCGAGGATTGGAAGAAAGGATACTTATTCAAAGCAAAAACTGGCGTGGAATTAGGCTCCTGTCCATCCCAAGCAAAATACTAAGCCGCATCATCCTGAAGAGAATCAAACAAGCCCTGGATGAAAAACTTCGACCGGAACAAGCTGGATTCAGGAGAAACAAGTCATGTATTGATCAAATCGCCACTCTACGGATCATCATTGAACAAAGCTTGGAATGGCAGTCAACTCTCTATCTCTAGACTTCGCTTATGATATATGTCTGATTTCCCACAAGCTGGAAGACATGCAAGTGAAAAGCAACCAGTTGAGAGAATAAGCATCATAGATAGGACTTCACTTCAGGTGAACACAGACAAAACAGAGGTGATGAAGTTCCTGGCAAACAGCAACAACAATCAGCATAAATGGGAGGAACCTAAAAGAAACAACCTTCTTTACCCACCTGGGAAGCATCGTTTCAACTACAGGCGGAATTGACGAGGATATCAAGGCCAGAATCGGAAAAGCAAGGCACGTCTTCATTACTCCTAAGTCTGTGTGGAGGTCAACAGCACTCAGCATCAAAAGTAATATCCGGATTTTCAACGCCAATGTGAAGTCAGTGCTACTCACTGTACGGATCAGAGACTTGCAATGCGCGTCATAAAGAGCATCTCAAACAAACTACAGACCTTCATTAACAGCTGTCTTCGCTCAATACTCAAGATCAGATGGCCAGCCAGAAAAGATCAGAAACAGGGATCGCTGGCAATGAGCGAACCAACCAGGAACCCATTGTGAAACAAATGGGCAGGAAGAAATGGAGATGGATTGGCCATGCGCTGAGGAAACCACCAAGTGATATCACTAGACAAGCCATCGCTCAAGTGGAACCCGAACGGGAAGCGGCGAATTGGTCGTCCGAGTGTAGGGTGACTTGGAGGTGATGTGAAGAGGAGATGAAAGCGTATGGGCAGACTTGGAGAGGGTTGAAAACGTTGGCAGAGAACTGAAGGCAATGGAGACGCGCAGCTGAAGCCCTATGTTCCTCTAGGAATTGGGGTGTTCGAGGTTACTTTTGAGTGAAAACGTTGCATTCGCCCAGAGATGTTTGCCTTAAGTTCCCCAAAAATTTTCTATTTGGGTATATACGTGTATACGCTAGAAGTTACATAGCTATATAAATTCAAGTGCATACAGTTACAACTTTATACATTATGACAATGTTTATACATCGAATATCTGAAAAGACCTACCTTTGGCTCATAACCTCATGCCCCACTAAAAGGAGATAGATTAAGCTTTCAACAAATGCACCTTACCAGTAAACAACATGTATTTTTAGACCCATCGTAACGCGTTTTCAAAATGCCCACGTAGAAACACCGAGACTGTACATAAACCACACAATCACCAACCTAATATTTAATATTGTTTTTATGAACTGGTGTAAGCTAAAATGATATTTTAATGTTCGGGTTTTGGTTGAAAGGCAAAGGTTTCTGGTCTTTGGTAGTGCGTAGTTGGTTCCGCCACTTGACTGCTGTAGCCATGGCTGAAATTATCCGTAACTTATCAAGGTCATTGGTGGAGTGAGACTCTCGAAGGTCATTTTCGTCCATATTGGTCGGCCATGTTGGATTGCAGTTCCGTAGCTGTTCGTCTACGCGTTTGTTGTTCCGTTTATGCTGCCGTTATACACGACTAATCTTGATGCGTATTGTTCACAAATGTTGCGTTTCACCTCATTTTTTGTTTCCGTTGCCGTTAAAATGAATTATTTCTTTGGTTTTGAAACTTTTCACTATCAGGTCAGTGCATTCATTTCGGTGTAATTGTTTCATACCTTGTATTTATGCGGCTTTTAGTGTTTTATTTGGTTTTCAGCTGTTAATGAATTGGCAATGTGTGGAAGTCTTGGAAATCATGCACGTGAAGATGTTTGGCTGGCAGAAGCAGTTGTTTTCAGTCCATTTATTGGTTGCCGTTATTCTTGTTGGCTCATTTAATTACCTAAGATGTAGAAATCCTGAAAAAAGTGACTTTCTCGTTCATGTTTACAGCATGCAACAATCTGCGAGTGAATCTGTTAAAGGGAACACCATCAGAGTTGATGTTAGCAAAGTTTTCGAAGAACAAATTAAACGTGGAAAATTTAGAACCTGGGTTGAAGTTGAAAAAGCTTTGAAGCTTTTTGAGAATGTGAATATACCATCCGTGTGTCTGCTATCATTTAAAAAAAATATATCGTGAGAGAATCTAAGTCAAATAAGGTTGAGCCGCATGAAAAGTATGAATCTGTTGTGCTTGTATGTATTTTGGGGAACTAAAAGAAACTGGAATCCTTAAGGGTAAGTGTTACTTATGCTTATTATTGCTTGATGTACTAGATCCAAATACATGAACTAGGACTACCCGTAATAGAGCCAGTGTTAACATCCATTCGATGGGTTGCAAAACGGTTTTCAAAGCGGATAAAATACGACGATCTGGTGAGTGTACGATCTGTCCCAGTTAAAGGTAAGACATTAATTAGGAAGAATAACATTTCGGGTTGTAGTCTACGATCGGTGGTTTCCTCGAAGTTGTGATTCTTCCGTGACTATAGACACAGATGTTCACGATCTTAAAAAAAACTAAATAAATTTTCCTTGAACCAGTAGTCTTCTTTTCTTTGGCGAAACATCCGTTGATACGATTATACGATTAGGTAGCGAAGTAAGATGTTATGTGACTGAGAATCGTGGTTGTTGTGTTTCGGACTAATTTCGCGCATCTGACTGTTATAACCGCATGGATATAGCGTTTTCCTCATAGTACATTATGATATCTAGAAATCATAAGCACGTTGCCATCGGTAAATTTATTTTTACTTTTTAAATGACTGCAAATAGTGAGTCGTTTGAGGTGATAGGATGAATACCTCTGAACGTTTTTGGGGAGACTAGGGTATATTTAATTTTTTCGAGTAAGGGACGATCTTTTTACCAAGAAAGTTCCCAGAATTTTCGTTATTCAAAGATAACGCTAAGTTGCCCACTAGGGTGTTAGCTATAGGAGATTACCTTCAGCGGAAACTATATTAATGTAGTTTTAGGTAACGCGTCATAGAAGTAAGCATCGTAGGTTAATTGTGTCTAAATGTATTAAACGTTGTATAACTGATCAAACCACAGTTCTTACGTACGAGTTAGTTTTATAAATAATGAATGTACCGTACAAGCGTTTACCTTGATTTGCATACCTAGCTCATAAACATTATGCCTGCATGTGGCATACATTTAGGGCCAATACGCTGTGATGAATTAGTCGGAGATGCTTCAAGTTAGACTTCATTTCCATATCACTATTATCAATTTTGCAACGGTCATAGGAATTAACACCTTCAACTAACTTTCGTTTACATCGGAAACTGAAAATAACAGTCTGACATTTCGAAGGACTTAGTTTAAGAGCATGTTCTCACTCCTAATAGAGAGCTGTTCATCTTAGTACAGTGTAGCTGGCAGTTAACAGACATTGAAATAGTTAGATCGTCCGCGTGCTTGAAAAAGTTCTTTTCGTATGCATTCGTACAATAAGTTCATCAAACAAAAATACAATTGGTTATGGACGACTTCCCCCTGACCTACAGTGTACTGCTTTCTCCCTGATAAATAAGAATGAAGCCATCTAACAATCCAATACTCAGTTTGAGTTTCAGCAAGCTTATGTGACAGAATATCTCTAATTACTGAGTGGAAAGCAAATGTGTGGTCTAGGAAGGTACAGCGAATTTAGCCCCATTGTCTACACTGGGGAAAATATTGTGATACAAGACTGCAACTGCATCTAAAGTACTTCTACTGTGTTTATAGGAGAATTGTTTGGGATCATTAAAGGCTTAAGTGAAGGTCGAAGATTAAGTAAGAGTAAATTTTCCTTAGTTCGTATATACGTCATTTGCATTGAAACCAAGGAAGCAACTGGCGAAGTTAAACTTTCGACACCACTAACTACCAATCAGCGAATTATCCAATGAGATTCACGAACGATGTCGAATTATCCAATGAGGTTCACGAACGCAGTTCAATGTTGTATAGCGCTTGATTCATTTCTAATGCGTGACCTTACAAAGCTATTGTTGCAATTCGAGGAGATTAGCGTTTCCCAGTATTTCCTGGATTTGAGTTGCGCCGGAAATAGCGAATTTGTTTGTGTGGTGGTATCATGACTTTAAAAAGCTATACCAAATCAACTGATGGGTTTGTTCATCGTTGTGCTATATGTTTGAAGCCTACTAACGCTAGAGAGAGTAAGCTGATAATTTTAATATTTCGTAGGAACTTTTTTCGCTTGGTCGCTTCTCTCCCTAAGGATAGCAGATAGAAAAGCAACTACTCTTATACCTATTATTACCAGACTTGTTAAGCGGGGGTCAATTATACACACCGACAGGTGGAAACGCTACAATTCACTGTCATCTCTGGGATATATTCATCATAGAGTCAACCATTCAAGTGATTTTGTGGATCCCGTTACGAGGACACATACAAATTCTATTGAAGGATTTTGGGGCAGGTTGAAAAATAGGATAAGGGCTATAAATGGATCTCATTTACGGTCATTTGGATGAATATATGTACAGGATATGGTGTAACTTCTCGATTGACAGTCCCATGCTAAACTGGGAGATGTTTCTCCCACATGTTCGAGAAAGATATCCCATGTAACTTTTTTATTCTCTATTTTATGTTTTTTTCTACAAATATACATTTCCATTCGTCATATATGCCTCTTTGATGTGACTGGTTCATTCAAGGTCGTTTGCTGATTGGTTGTTAGTGGTGTCGAAAGTTTAACTTTGCCAAGCAACTATTATTAACACTTGTAACACCAGAAACCTTAGCATTTGTGGGAGAATTTATGGAAGACTTGTTTAGTGTACACACATCAAATGAATAGGGAATACTGGAGGTAATTAGATGCATGAAGGCGTAAGTTATTAAATATCCATAAAGTAGATATGCAAATACCGCAGTTGTTGATCATAGAAATGATGGATATTAGATAACATCGCATGATTCAACGGCATATTAGAAATAAATAAAAATTGTTTCTGAGCTCATTGTCAAGTGAACAGTCTATTTGATGATGTCACTGCATATTAACAGATTAGTGAAGTAGCTATCAAGCCTAAGTTACTACATTTACTTGTACTACATACTTGGCGTTTAACAGTATACAGGCTTGCAACTGGCTAGATAAGGCGACTTTAGAGTATCAAACAGTACAGAATTATTATTCAACTTGCTAAATCGCACTTAGCTTTTACAATGTGCTATTGTGTAGAAACAGACACGAAATCCTATCAATGACTAAAGTAACATTCTCATAATACTACAGTAAATCTCCATCCCACTAACTAAGCTTAGCGTTTATTATTCCTAATTCACTTATTACAAAAGCACATAGTATAGCAAGGAATTGAAGAAGTCTACAGGAAGAAGTAATCAAGAGTATATTAAACATTTGATTAATTAACAAAAGAAAATTCTGATGAAGGGTATTGAAGTTAGTTTGGCCGAATGATGTTTACCCTGATTTCATATTCGACAACCTCCGTATACCTGAAAAAATAAAGTACGTGTAAGATTTAGCATAACATGAAGTTACAAGAGATAATTCTACATATTAGCATATACTATGAATACAATGATTCTGTTAATACTAAGTAATGTCTCATGCAGATGAATGTATTTGTAGTCTACAGCTGATATTTATGTTGACGCCGTATACATAAACAGATATCATTACAAATGTCCACTTCTCACTTGGCGCCCAAATATTATAGAACTATTCTGTCAAATCTTGACTACAGTTCAGTTTGACAGGGTGCTTCAACTAAACCCTAATCCTAAACACCATAATTTTGAAAATACGTCTAATCATAAAATTCTAGATACTAACAGTTTGAACAGACATGAAGGTGTGATGTTAGATGACGCATAGGAAATCCTGACTAATAAATAAGAATGGATATGTGTCACTAACTAATAATACTTGGTCAAAGTTTCCCGACTGTCTATATCTACTTATGGAGATGTTAAGACATTGTTTTACAACTGTTTATCCGCACACACATACACACTGTGTTTAAAGTGTTTAACAAAGCTAGACCAATATTTGTAAGTCTGAGGTCAAATTTTGATCACAACTCGTACAATTTTGTCTATTATACTTGTTAATATTTGTTTAATGAATCATGATTGGACAAAGTTTTTAAAAACTAAAGATGTTCCTTTTAAATATAAACCTGTTATGTTAATTTCGATTAATTTCCCTGAAGAAGTTCGGACCAGATTTCCGAACGAAACGTTGGAATTACTCATTTCAATATCGCTGAGATTGTACAAATATAATTTTTTTACAGATATCGTATGTTTTCCTGTATTTGAGGATTATACGCAAATTTCAAGACAATCTTCGAAACATCCATACTATTGAGGCGTCATTCTCTCAAGCTTACTTGCAGATCAACTTCACATTAAATACTTTTACATGAAATGAAGCATTGCAAATGTGTAACTTAGAAATTAATCCGCAATCTCAGTAATGTCTAGTCCACAAGGTTTTGTGAATCCTACAGAAATCACATTTTCACATTGAGGAGACTATAGGCATCAAATATAGGCTGAACATGCCTCAACTCTAGACAGCTATGCACAGTGCTAACAACATAGTGAAACACTTCAACTATTGTAATGTACACAGACTTGTGTTGATGAGGATAATAATGTCAAATAATGCAAACTAGAAAATTCAATCGTCATAGCGCATCTGTACTGCTTTGTTTAAATGGAAATCTCAGGAGAAATTCATCTCCACTATAGGTGGTCAAAAATATTGAAGCATTAAGTATACAGTCAGTGGAAATTGTAAACGAATAAATTCATATTAATGATAATAAAGGTGAATAGATTCAGTTCTCGTAATCACCACGACTCATGCGTATAATCATACCATGTAATGATTTAGTGCATTAATTGGAACAACAAAGAAATTAACACGAGTAATTGCCTTCTCCACTGCATTGTACTTGCAATAATCGTGACAACCACCCATATTTGTTATCCTATCAGTCAGTTAAATAGACAGTGGCAAAATATTATTAAAGTTGAGATATTTTTCTACATTTAATTCACATAACCCATAGTAAACTGCACCAATCAGTGCCAATATATATGAAATCCACTTAGAGATAACCTTTCAGCTTACCATAATTCCTGTCCAACCACAGATAGGGTGGAAAGCACATCTAAAAGATAACTTAGGTAGCCACAAACGATTCTGATAGCATTTGCAGTTGATTTCCAAGCATTGAGAGAATTATTTTGTCAAAAAACTGTTCTTCACACGAAAATAGGCTGTATTAATATCCTGAGACATGAAGTCTTCATTGAATGATACTATGCCGAAAGGAGCAGCTTCTATATGGAGTAAACGATTTGAGTAAATAGCATTACTAACTATCCTATCTTCCTCATTATCGCGATACTTTGACACAGTCCACCTGAAACACTAATCATTGCAACCAATATGCTAAGTGTGTCGCAGTCAGATCACATGAGGCGGACACCAACATAACCAGCCAAAAAATGGGAATTTCCATCAATCTAG